GGGGGACAACGATGCTCTCCCGGGGTGCGTGCAGCTGGACCAGGACATGCCATGCTTGGACCACGGGGACGGTGAGTGCTGGGGATGACGGGGTGGTGGGAGCTGAGATGTGGCATGCGCAGACCTGGGATCCTGCAGCGTCTGTCCCTCTGCAAACCAGGATCACCGTGCCCTCCGCCCCGGGGTCAGGGTGCACGCGGCGTGCTTGCCGTGCCGGTTGGGTCTCGTTGTGGCACGTGTGGAGCCCAGCCTGCTCCTCAGCAAGGAGAACTGAGGTCCCTAACGGCTGGCCCTGTTTTGTAGGGGGAGCAGACACTCTCCCAAAGCCCTCGACTGCCTCGATGGACAGGCAGAGGAGCACTGAGCTCTCAGCCCTTGACAGTGAGTGTTGCAGAGCTCACAGATGCTCAGGTGCAGCCCCAGTGGGAGACAGGTGTGGGAGAGGTCATCTGGGTCCGTCATCCCACAAAGGCAGCTAGAAAAAAGTCTTCTACGGCTGCCAATCCCTCCCATAATGTGGCAAGGCCAAGTCCAAATCCAGACCTTGGTGATGGCTTGTGCCAGCAGTGAGAGGTCGCTGCAGCTCCACGCAGTGGAACTGGAGATGGCAAACTCTTTCCATATACTTTCCTAATTAAACTACGAATTGCTTGTTGAAAACAGACTGAGATTACCAAGTGGAGCTCTTCAAGGGTAGGAAATATGAGAATGAACTTGAGTGCATACCCTAGGGTGTCCTCTGTATTTCATGTGCAATTATGCCATTAATGCCAGATCTCCACCTCCCCTGGTGCCCCAGATGGACCCTGCCCCTCCTTGGGCAGCTGTTTGGGCTGTTTTATCTTCCCTGCTCAGCTGTCGGTCCCTGTGCACTGGTCAAGACTCAGCCTCCAGGCTCTTTACTTGCAAGGGAATAATTCCTTTTTCGCAGGACTCACTTTTTTGCCAGGGACAGGAGGGAACAGCTTCAGATAAGTCACACGAGACCTGAGCTTTCATGAAGCTCTTGGGCTCAAGTCACTGTCGTTCCTCCCTCTGCACGGAAGAGACGTGCCCTGACTCCCCTTTCTCTGGAACAGGCTTCCCCCTGAAGCACTCGAACACGCTGACGAACAGGCAGCGAGGCAATGAGGTCTCGGCCCTCCCGGCCACGCTGGACAGTGAGTATCTCCAGGCAGAGCGGGTTGTGCATCTCAGAGCGCAGCTGGATGTGGGGTGTAGGGGGAGCAGAGGGACAGGAGCCTCCCTCCGTCTCCAGCTGCCACACTGTGCAGTGTCCTTTGGGATGGTCTCTCGGGCTGCTCCCTGCAGTGCTGCTGCTCTCAGCACTCGCCGTGGCTGGCTGTCCCTGCAGCTGAACAGCACAAGGGTGTTAGTCACCATGTGGCTTTCTGGGGCTCAGACATGGGCCGGCCAGTTACCACCTCCCCAGACTTGCAGGGACCCGCCTACAGACGGTGGGTGCTGAGCTGGGGAAAGTTTGTCCTGATGGGTGAATTCTCTCTGTCCTCCAGCGTTGTCCATCCACCAGCTTGCTGCCCAAGGAGAGCTGAGCCAGCTGAAAGAGCACCTTAGGAGAGGTACACATCTCTTCCTTTGTTCTTACCCCAGATCATGCAGAGTCCTGCCAGATCATAGCACGCCTTTTGATAAACCCTTGGCTTAGTTTTACAGCCTTTACTGGATTTACTGGAGGGGACGGGGAGCAGAGGGGGCTTTACTCTTCCTGTTTAAGATGTCTCATCCATGTTTGTGCAGGTGAGAACTTGGTAAATAAACCTGATGAGAGAGGTTTCACACCGCTGATCTGGGCTGCAGCCTTCGGAGAAATCGAAACGGTCCGTCACCTGCTGGAATGGGTAAGGCCACGCTCACGTAGCACCTCGTTAAGAGGAGACTTCCCATCTCCAACCTCAGTGGCTCCCAAATTGTCCAGCACTGTCCTGGTACTGTCTCAGCCAACCTTTCCCATGGCACCAAACAGGACACGTTTGCAGAGCTAACGGCTCAGACGCTGTCGGATGCTACTCCCCATTGGGCTGTGAGCTAAGTCAGGAGCATGAAGAGCCTTATCTCACAGCCAGCAATAACTGTTTGTAATTAAATATCTGCTTATTGGTAATTTGAGATCAGGCTTATCACTTGGGCCCTGTAATCTGCCAGCAAATGTGCTCGCCGAGGTATCGTTGCAGTTAATGAACTCATTGCTGCATCGTCCTTGAGTGCTGGGCTTGCAGTTGAGGACTGTCTGGGGGTGAGCAGGAACCAGAACCTCCTCCACTCTTGATTAAGCTGCTCCCCAAAGCTCAGTCCCACATCCACGTGTGTCCAGTGACCACTCACACCATGTGAGCACTGGCCAAACTCTGGCTCTGTTACTCTATTAGCAGCAAAATCGCAATGCATTACCAGAGAGACAAACAGAACCAGGTTTTGGGCAACCTGGTGTAGTGGAGGGTGTCCCTGCCCGTGGCAGGGGGGTTGGAACTAGATGATCTTTGAGGTTCCTTCCGACTCTAACCATTCTGTGATTCTAGAACCCAAAATAAACAAGGTGATACGTTGATAAAGGCTATGATGAAGTTCAGGAGAGGTCCATGGCTGGCAGGGCTCAGAGGACAGAGAGGTTTTCTAGGTAAATCAGTAACAAAGAGACAGTGGGTACTGTACACACCTCTAGACAGGGCCAGTAACACTGTGACTAGTGATGGGGAAAAAGGGCTGAGTAACAGGAACCATCAGGCTCAGTTCACTGACAGTGGAGAAGGGCTTTTAAGTCCTCACCTGGGATGTCTGATGATGATTAAAATACACACGGTAAGGACTTCGGTAAGGAGAGGTCACTGAGAACGTGTGAGCCATCTCTGCCCCATGCGGCCATCAGGACCTGGCTCTGTAATCCGCCCCCCTGGGGTACCCAGCAAGGCTGTGCTGAGCACCCCGGTTCTCAGGAGGGCTCCTTTGCCCGTCGGGGCTGACGGCTGTGCCATCCCCAGGGCGCTGACCCCCACGCGCTGGCGAAGGAGCGGGAGAGCGCCCTGTCCCTGGCCAGCATGGGCGGCTACACCGACATCGTCATCATGCTGCTGGAGAGGAACGTGGACATCAACATCTACGACTGGGTGAGTGCTGCTGGGCACAGGCTGCTGTGGGGACTGTGCCAGCACTGAGAGCAACACCAAACCCCGGACAGGGCTCTGCAAAGCTCATTTTAAAAAGCAGCAGCGAGTTCACGCCGTTCTGGGCTGAGTGAGCAGCAATGCCTTTCTCTTAGCTGCTCCCCAGGCTCGCAGCACTCGTTCTGCTCATGCAGTTGTTTCAAGAAATTAACCTGGATAATAATTTTAAATAGTTTCCTCAGTTGCTCACACTGGTGATGTTACCAGCTGCAAGGAAACAGCGCTCAGGACTTAAGGTTGTCTTTAAAATTACACAATCTCAAAGTTATTGTTTTGCAGAGAGAGAAGAAAATTTGCGCAGAGCCGCTCTGCGTGAAAACACCCAGCCCGGAACGGGGAGAGGGTGGAAAGGGGATGCCGGCGGGTGGGGGACCTACTGCTCCAGGAGAAGCAGGAGCTGCGTGGGCTGGCAGTGACACAGCCCCTTCCCTTTCCCTGCAGAACGGCGGCACTCCTCTGCTCTACGCCGTGCGCGGCAATCATGTCAAGTGCGTCGAGGCTCTGCTAGGTAACGGGGAAGATCTGCGCTTAGTCCTTGGCCTCCAACCGCTGCTCGGTGGTAACCGCCTCGGGGAGAGAGCGTGATACGCCTGGGGGTGTCACGGGGGGCTGCCCAGCCAGGACAGGCACCTTTCGGGGGTCCCCTCGCCCTGTTCCTGAC